CGTCCAGGAAACACAAAATAAAGAAAAACATATTAAACCAACAAGAAGGTAAGACAGGAAACAATAGAAACTGTTTCTCTAGTTGCAGATGCTGCCTTTTATACTTTTGTTGAGTCAAATAAAACTCAGACATCTTTCGTACAATAATATCACAGAGGTAGAATAAACAAAATAAACAGCTTTTGAGCTTATAAGGTTCTCATTTCCGATATTTTACTGCGTGGGGTATTTTTACATACATAATTATTTCCAATAGAGTGAGAAATATCAAAAACCACTTTACCACAGAATTCAGAACAATCCTATTATGTTTTTTAAAACCTGAGGTGTATCGTGTTAATTTTGTAACATCGGTCCGACTAGACGAGCAGCGGCCATGGAGTTTACCTTTCATGATGGCCTGCAGAGAGGCCACTTCCTCCTGCCATTGGCTGCGGACCTGGTCGATAGCTTCCTGTTTGGTGTTTTCCGACACGGTGGCCACGGCTTTGATGGTCTCGATCTCAGCCTGGGCCTGAGCCAGCTGGGCATGTACAGTGCTGAGCTCGCTTTGGGAGTTCTCCAGGGCCGTCGTTTGCCTCTTCAGTTCCTCTGAGGATGGGACAGGGATGGGACAGGGATGAGAAAATTAGAGACGGATGGAGGATTAAACAGACCAGGAATAAAACGGAAGGTATGACAGGGTTTGCTGCATCTTTACGAAACCCATATTCAGCACAGATAAAAAAAACAACTTACAATCTTTATGTTTTAAAGCATTAATGGCGCTTCCTTGCATATGATTTATAAAGTTTAAAATCTTGGGATACCAACCTTCCTTAGACATGTACAGGTCTTTGAATTTGGCTCGCTTCTGGTTGAATTCGGCCTCAAGCTGCTGCTTGAGTCGAATGAACTCGGCTCTCTCCTGCTCCAGAGCAGCAACTCGCTGCTGAAGCACCTCTGGAACTAGAGTGACGGGGGAAGAAGCAAAAACAGAAAACAGTTCATCAGCTGTTAACTGCATGTAATTACAGAGGGGTGGTACAAATCCATATATAGTTATGATGAATTAAAAGGTATTGTGGAGAATTTTCTCCATTTTTTTAAAGGATCCGCCCTCTCCACTTTAAAGAAAACATGCGTGAGTTTGTTTCAGATATTTTTGATTTATGCCCAATTTTGTAGCGTGGTCTGCGCTATGTTATTCCAAGCAACAACGCCACACGGCCAGTCAGGAACTAGCTGTGGGTCTAGAGACGGCCGAGGCGGTGAGGAAGTGGAGGCAAGTTTGTGCGACAATATAAGGGACATGAGGGCCAAAAAGAGCGGGGATCCAGGTGGAAAAAGGATCCCAGCGTTATCGCACAATGGCGGCCATACAAACAAAACAAGCCAGCAAGGTACCAAACAGGAAATACGAATGTAGAGAGGATGTACTGTAGATTTGACCAATCAGAGGCCTCCTGTCTGCGGCCACTTAAAATTTTGGAGATGTGCAGCAGAGTGTCTGCGGCAGGGATGGGGGCACATGTGCATTCACTGCGACACACACGAAGACGACCTGATTTCTGAGTATAAATCAGCTCTAACCCCTAAATCCCTCCATCACTATATAGAGCGGGGACTATACAGTGAACTTCCTAGTGAACTCAGTTAACTGACCATTCAGACAGTTGATCACTACTTTTTGCTCCCTGTTGGTCACGTAACTCCTCCTCCACTGCGCGGTGCCTCCGCCATCTTTGTTATTAGTCGCCGCTGTCAGGTAGCGAATTCCTATGGCGACAGCGGGCCGCTGAGACAGCAAATCCCATAATGCTTTGCGTGGAGAGCTCTACGTGCAAAGCATTCTGGGATATATATTTGCCTCTATTAAGGCCTTTCTTTTCTTCTCACACTTTTTCTCTTACGACCCTCAGCAATTGTCAAAGAACGGTGGTGAGAAAGTCGAGCTTCAATGACTGTCTGAATCATAGCTCACCACAGATATGCGCCTGAAAGTGCGAAGAAAAAGCCTTACGTAAACATATCAACATAATGATTTACAATTAGGAGGACCACTTATTTAGATGATCCGCATGGAAATAAAAGACTGTCCTCTATGACTTTAATGTTAGTAATTAGGTGCAAACAGCAATGCACAAAAACTGAAGTACAGTCCTAATAAAAGGCTAAGAGTAACTAAAACTAGGGATGCACGATATTGGGATTTTGGCCGATATCCGATATGCCGATATTTTAAAACTCATGTAGCCGATAACCGATATCGATAC